GTACTAGATGTTAGTTATAAGATGCTATGATGCTTGATGTTCAAATTGTGCTTTACTTCTGCATAAGTACAGGTCAAATATTGTCGAGGGACAGGTAGTTGTCAGAGCTAGATGCTTCAGGTCCATGAAGAAAAATGAGGAACCACACAGACTGCAGGTTTGAAACAGTCAGAGAGCCGGTTGGCTCATGTTCATTAGAGTTCCTGTTCATTTCTGACAGATGAAGAACTTTAACATATGATGGACAGCTTCTGTACTGAGAGCTTACAGTAACATCTTCCTGCTCAGTGCTTACTGTTTGTGGAAGCAGCAAAGTCTGTTTTGTTCTGCTGCTGTTTCAGCTCATCTTCAAACTAAAATCTATTACTTGTTTAAAGCTAAATATGTTATAACAAGTATCATATGTATGTGCTAAAAACAGTTATCTGTTTTAGATCTCACTGGGTGACGGCAGGAGAAACTGAAGTCCCAACCACTTATCGCTCGTCCTAAGTTTGGAGCTGGTACCATCCAGATGTGGTCCTGTGCCACAGGGCTCACAGATGTTTTACAAGTGCCCACCTGAGAAGTCCTGCGTAGCATCATTCTGGACCACATGGCTCCACACTTCCCTGCTCTCCCTCTGATGCTGCAGTCTTCCCAACATGTGTTTTGTGTCCACACTTCACATCTTCAGTCTCTGCACGTGTCACTGGAAACGTCTTCTCAGAGGCCAGAACCAGGGAGCAGTCCAGATGTTCTGCAGGGGTACAGCTTCTACAACCAAGGCTTACTGCGAGCTGTTTCTATGTTGCAGAAGAAGTGTGGAGTCTACTCTGCTGACATGTTTTACTTCAACACCTTTATCCATGTGTTTATATCAACGCAGTAAGAATCATAAAATGTACAAATCACACTTTTGTTCCTTCATATTTTTAATATTCAGTATTAAGCTGTGAATCACTGTAAATACTGTAAATAGTTGTTACTCATGAAAAATACATAAATGTGCCAATTTCTTTAAAATAGCATAATTTTGGGAAAAATGTCTATAATCCTCTATCATTTTATAGTGTACAGTTAAAATGTTAAATAGTTAAGGGTTTTTGTTTTTTTACTAGATGTTGTAAATTACACTTGTTTTCCTTTCAATACAACTGAATCAATCCACAAATTAAATAAAAAACAGTACAGTATGCTGCTCAAGTGTGTTTTAATTGAAGAAAGTTTAAAATAATTCGAAACCTTTAAATAACTAATTACATAACACTAGAACAATATGTAACACGCTTGGGTATGGACGTTATTTTTCCTCAAAGAGGACCATTAATAACATACTACACCATCATAGTCCTGCTGGGCATGCAAGGTCCAACTGCTCACTCCAGCACATGTCCAGCCTGTTTTGAAGTTCACCAATGACTATCTGGAAGATCCAGAAGAGGCATGGGAAAAGGTCATATAAGACCAAAATAGAGCTTTTTGGTATCAACTCCACTTGCCGTGTTTGGAGGAAGAAGGATGAGTACAACCCCAAGAACACCGTCCCAACCATAAAGCATGGGGGTGGAAACATAATCTTTAGGGGTGCTTTTCTTTAAAAGGGACAGAACGACTGGATCGTATTGAAGAGAGGATGGATGGGGTATTGTATTGTGAGATTTTGGCCAACAACCTCTTTCCCTCAGTAAGAGCACTGAAGATGTGTCGTGGCTGGGTCTTCCAGCATGACAATGACACAAAACACAGCCAGGGTAACTAAGGAGTGGCTCCATAAGAAGCATTTCAAGGTCCTGGAGTGGCCGAGCCAGTCTCCAGACCTGAACCCAATAGAAAATCTTTGGAGGGAGCTCAAACTCAATGTTGTCCAGTGACAGCCCTGAAACCTAAAAGATCTGTATGGAGGAGTGGGCCAAAATCTCTGCAGTGTGTCCAAAGCTGGTCAAAAACTACAGGAAACGTCTGACCTATGTAACTGCATGCAAAGGCTTCTGTAGCAAATATTAAGTACTGTTTTTCTATTGTATCAAATACGTATTTCATGCAATAAAATGCAAATTAATTATTTAAAAATTCATACAATGTGATTTTTCAGGATTTTTACAACTTAGATTCTGTCTCTCACAGTTAGAAGTGTACCTACAATAAAAATTACAGACCTCTCCATTCTTTGTAGGTGGGAAAACTTCCAAAATCTGTATGAAATACTGATTTTGTAAGGATTGTACCATTTCCTGTTTCGGTTTGTGTTTGTGTTCCCCACTCTGCTTTTTGTGCTCTTGTTGTTCTGCTTTTTGTGTGGTTTCTGTTCCTGTGTATCTGGTCCTGTTTTCCACTCACTCCTCAGTCTGCCTCTCCACTCCTCAGTCTTTATCATTCACACCTGTCCCTCATCAGCCACCTGCCCAGGTGCTCTCATTACTCACTCTCCCTCTGTCTTATAAAAAGCCTTTCTCTCCTTCACTCCTCGTCCGGTCATTGTTCTGTATTCACAGACATCTCAGTCCTCCTCTGTCCTGTCTGTTTTTTTGTCCACCTGATGATCTGCTCTGCCTGTGAACTCTGATGTCCTGTTCAGCCTTGTTTTTGCCAAAGTAAGTTTTGCTGCACCGACAGCCTTTTGTTTTGTTGTTTAAATAAATTATTTTTATTTAAACTCCTGCCTCGCTCGCCTCCCTGCAAATGGGTTCCAACTGTGAGGATTGTGACAGATTTTCCCCACTGTACACATATTCATCCAACCTTTATTTATACAGGTTAGTCTCACTGAGTCACAAGGACTCATTTACAAGAGAGATTTGCGAGATATATATGTATATATTTTTATATATACATATATATACCGTAACATACATATATATATACACACACACACACACACAAGATAATAATCCTGAGGCCCTCAGTAACTGAGTTATGACACTGGGGATGAGGCAAGACCTGACATGAAAGATATTGTAGAGGAAACAGAGTCAGACGGTGAAAACACAGAGAATGTTCCAGAGTCAATGTATGAAACAATTCAGTGATGAGGAACAGGGTCCTGTTGAGGTTGTCTTTTTGTTCTGTTTAAAGAATGAAGATATTTTTTGGTCTTTACTGCCACCTGAGAGAAAAGTTTCATTCTTAGCTGAAATGCAGTTCATATAACTAAGCATGTGCAGCGGATACCATTCTACTCTCAGCAATGTATCTTAAGACTCTGCCAGGCAAACACAGTGAACTTTGTTTGGGCTGCAAAGTAAGCTGTTCACTGAAGATGTCACATTCAACATGGTGTTGAAGATAAATAATGGATAGCTAGGCTATATATATATATATAAAAAACTAACTAAAAGAAAACAGCTGATGTGGCAGCAGAATTTATGTGGGTGCGTGGAAATACAAGGAACAGAATGTTACAGGTTATGGGAAGCACAGTCTAGGGACAACATGATGACACAGAGACACTGAACTTAAAGGGACACCAATGAGACACAATGACAAACACCTGGACAAAGACAATGAGGAACAAGTGAGTGGCAGGAGCTGACTACAAGGAGAGAAACACCGATGAAACAACAGAGAACTTGATAAAAATAATCAGTCAGAGAGAGAGTCAGAGGTTTTATTGTCATTTCAGCTGCGTACAAGTACATGTTGAAATGAAACAGTGTTCCTCCAGGATCACCGTGCAACACAGAACATGACGTGCAAAAAAATCCAACACACAGTGCAGACACAACAATACAAACAGGCCTTTAATAAATGTAAAAATACATTTAACCTAATCTAAAGATTAAAATCTAAACAAGTAATTAAGAGACAAGACTAGAGACATATATTATTTGTACATACAGACACAAACATAACAAAACACACAGATATGACAAAAGGTGATTAAATAAAAAAAAAGATCCAAAGAAGACTTCACTGTGTGGCCGAGTGGTTAGAGCAGTCAACCTCCAATGCAAGAGTTGGGGGTTCGAATCCATCAACAGTCACATGTTGAAGTGTCCCTGGGCAAGACACTGAACCCCTCATTGCCTCTGATGTGCGTCCCGTCGGTGTATGAATGTGATAAAGCTCTGATTAGTCTCTTTAGAATGATGTTCAGTTAGCTTTGTATAGATCTAGTGGAGTGCTGTATGAATGGGTAAATGAGGACACAGATTGTAAAGTGCTTTGAGTATCTTGAAATAAGATAGAAAGACATTATATAAGTACAGTCCGTTAACCATCCATGCAGTTTATAGACCAGGGGTCTGCAACCTTTATGATCAAAAGAGCCAGTTCTGCCCCTTTGTTCACTAAATGAAACGTGTCCGGAGCCACAAAACCTGCTACAACTGGGATTCTCAACTGGTGCCCCACAGACCACTTTGAGTTTGTTGGAGGGTGCTTTTCTGGACAGTAGGGGTGATTTTATAAAACTAAAAATATCTAATGATTATTAACATTTATTGATATTTTTACATTCTAAGACAAAATAAAAGACGATATTCTTGTAAAGAAGGAAAAATAATATAGTTTTTGCCCAGTTTCTAAAAACTAAAACAATACACTTTTTTAATTGTAGAAAAATGACGTACCCTACTTAGAAGATATAAAGCGTAAAGTGAAAAGGAGTATGTTTTACTCCTTGTAATGTTTCGAGTATTTATATATTTGCAAAATAAATTACAGGAAAGCTGCTAAAACTAGCCCTTTTAGTTGTTACAACAACCAATAATATTCAGTTTTATGTCAGTTTTGGTCAAAGCTTGAAAGAGCCGCTGCAGAAGGGCCAAAGAGCCGCACGTGGCTCCAGAGCCGCAGATTGCGGACCCCTGTTATAAACAGAGTGAAACAAAATGGAGCTTTATTCCCCTTCCCTGGAACACTAAACCACATTTTTTTAGCCTTCCCTGTTGATGGTCTGATTCCTTCTCATAAAGGTGTGAAGTGGGAGGGAGCCAGAGGAGAGGGAGGGAGGGGGCACCACAGCTCATTAACAACACGGGTGTTGTCCTTCCACCCCACCCCCCCCCCCCTCCGCCACAAAAGTATCTGTGTGGCTCTGAGATCTGGGTTTCAGTTGGATTCTATCAGCCTTCTGAGTTAATTTATTTTTAATCTTTAACAAGGAGAAGAAGAAAAGAAACAAAAGCCTTTGTTTTTATAAATTGATGGTGCCGCGCTGGTCGGACTGGTTCCAAGTGGATCTGTTTACAGGTGAGTCTGGGGATGAGTTCAGTCGCGTCTTCTAAAACCAGCTGGTTTTCAAGGAAAAGGCAGAAAGGACGATAAACCACTTTATTCTGGGCTTTTTATTCCAATACTTTTTTTTTTTAATAACTGTAATACATAAAGAACTGTTTATTAGGGAAATAATTAAAGTGCAATAGAAAGCTGCAGTTTTTTAGTTGTTGCTGAAGTTAAACACCACGCATGATCTGCGTGGAAAAAAGTGAGAACAAAATCCTCCACAAAGATGAACTGTGCTTTTATCAGCCGATAAGGTGAGAATAACTTTTATACAAAATGATTAATGCTATTTTATTAATTCTATTCGTACAGTTTGCAAGTTGACAGTTATACAGTGAGCCTATTTATACAAATTAACAGTAATATTTTAATATTCTTTACATTTAATGTATTAAAGTATAAACAAGTGGCTCCAAACATGGCTGTTGTTGTTCAGAGTGATGCTGTAATTCAATCTACAAGCAACTGGTGGTGTAATGGTGCTCTGTGGAAATCTCTTCTGTGAAGTCTTTTGAGCGTTGGCTATTATCATCATAATTAATGATGGGCCAGATGTTGAGAAGCTGCACACGCCTTCACTGCAGCAGAGTTTTGTTTAATGTGTTATGATTGAGTCAGTTTGGTGCAGCTTTGACTTTGATCACGTTATTTGTTTTAATTCATCCTATGAACGGGACTGACAGATGTTGCATCATATTTTGTTTACTTTCATATATTATTTTATGAAGTGTTTGCCATGTAACCCAAATGAACTGAGTGTGTGTGATTGAAGTCATGTACAATATTCTTAGAGCTGACAGAACTGGTTCTGTGTTCTGTCCATGTGCTTGTTGATTGAAATGTTTTGTCTTTTTTCTTCTCTCTGTTCTTTTTGAAGGTGCAGTTCTAGTCATTATACATTGTGTACTTCAGCAGAAGAGATCATTTGCTGGGAACCTGAAAAGGGACTTTCTCAAAGCCATGAGGTACACCACTGTTCTTTCCGAGGGTGGAGATAAAAATAAATTATATATATATATATATATATATATATATATATATATACATATATATATATATATATATATATATATATAATCTAAACACCTGTGTGAGCATGCTTGTCACTATAAGGTTTCTCCATAAAAATGTTCAATAGTGGATGTGGGGACCCACAGACCCGTCCCCACAGGACATGATGGTAACACAGGGAAGACCGGAGCCACAGACACACAGCGACCCGCTGACAGAAGCCCCGGGCGATCCCCTATAGCACCTTTCTATCTTATCAAGATGCTCAAAGCTCTTTTCAACACATTCTGTGCCCTCATTTACCTATTCATACAGCACTCTACAAAGATTAATCATCACATTCATACACCGATTGGACACACATTGCCCAGGGACATTTCAGCATATGACTGCTGGTGGAATCGAACCCCCAACTCTCCCATTGGAGGGCGACTGTTCTAACCACTCAGCTACAGCAGCTGTATCAAATGGAGAAGTTCAAGCGTTCATTCCGGTAGTTTAACAGATGGATGCAATTAAATGTGAGTATGTTGGGGGAGTGGTGGCACAGAGGTTAGAGAGGTGGGCCTGTGATCTGAAGATCGCCAGTTCACACCCCGGCCCTGAAAACATCAAAATTGTGGGTGGGGTAGGTGAAGCACCCACACTTGCCCCCATCCTCATTTACCCCACCCTGGGCCCATGAGCAAGGCCCTTAACCCCCCATCTGCTCCCTAAACAGGTCTCTCTTGAAAATGAGTTCTCGTGTCTCAATGAGACTACCTGGATAAATAAAGCGTAAATGTTCTAGAAGAGGGCAGCACGGTGGCGCAACTGGTAGAGCTGCTGCCTCTCAGTGAGCAGGTCCTTGGTTCAAACCCCGGTCCAGGGGCCTTTCTGGGTGGAGTTTGCATGTTCTCTCTGTGCATGCGTGGGTTTTCTCCAGGTACTCCGGTTTCCTCCCACAGACCAAAAGCATGCATGTTAGACTGATTGGTAACTCTAAATTGTCCCTAGGTGTGAGTGAGAGAGTGAATGGTTGTTTGTCTCGTTTGTGTCCCTGTGATGGACTTGCGACCCGTCCAGGGTGTACCCCGCCCTTCGCACAGTGATTGCTGGACATGGGCACCAGCGACCCCCGTGACCCAAAATGGAAGAAGCAGGTAAAAGATAATGGATGGATGTTCTAGAAGACTGCGAAGCACTTGGCAGGTTTTGTGTAAAACTTCGTGGATGACCAGGCTGTGGAAACAAATATGACAGAACTGGACAAGAGAAGATGTTTAGGTGAAAATATAGGAGGTTAGTGTGCCCTTTAATTAAACATTTTTTATATAAATTTGTGACCAGATGCCGACTACCTGTGCTTTGGTTTAGCTGTGCAAAAAGCCAAAGTCACTGAAAATAGATCAACAATGACAACGACCATGAAAATCAAGTTTGACACGGAGAAGTCCAACAATTTTTGTTGCATGTATTCAATCATGGTGGGTAAACTATGCAGGTAAACAGGTTAGGTTAAAATGGTGAATTCAATGTTCCAGAATAGGCTTTGCAATTTGTTTGAATGCCAAGTTCTCTCTTTATGGCTCTCATACCGTCCTGCTCGGTCCCTGGTATTTATTCTCAACAGTTATCTAACTTGTTCTTACGTGTTTCTTTCATATTCAGCAGCAGATTACCTGGGTTAGGGTGAATGGGTCCATTTGAAGTTTCCGAATAGGTACTGGTAGCTTTCTTGACACAATATAATCGAGATTTAGAACAAGTCAAGACTTTTACACATACCGTGGTTGTAAAAACAGCTAGGTGCAATAAAACATTAAACATCAACCTATGTTTCATGACTTATGGCTTCTGTGATTACACTAACACCAACCTGTCCTGTAACTGTTTGCCCACTTCTCCTGGATGCACTAAGTGAGTCACGCTGGTTTTGATAAGATGACACCGTGTGGGGGTATTAGCACATCATGAATGATTGGGTTATAAAGTGAGAAAGACAAAACCACACCTCATATTTACGTTGTCCGTTTACTTCCATGTAATGGTGTGCTTAATGCTGTGATGCCTTTGAGAGGAATTCTCTCATTTCATTTTCTGACACTAAATAGATTAGGTTTAGAAAGTCAAGCATTATAAGTTAGAATGGCAGAAAATTAAGGTCTAAACTGGCCTCTTTGTAGCAACTCTATATACAGTATGACTAAGGAACAAAAAGTGCCTTTGACCTTTACTTTTGACCTTACTATTGCTTGTAAAGTTTTGTGATGTTTGCTTGTACAGGATAAAAGCCTAGTAGGAAAATTACCATAATTTTCAGACTATTGAGCGCACGCGAATATAAGACATGTCCACTAAATAAAACAAAAATAAAAAGTTTGTACATGTATAGGCAGCATTTGTCTCTAAGCTGTGGGTGTCTATGTTGTAAAATGAGATATTTAAACAGAATTCTTTAAAAAGTAGTGTCTTATAGTCTGGAAATTACGGTAATCAGCCATGTTATAATAATAATGTCATCACAATGTCAGCACTGTATGTTTCCATACAATGGCGAAATTAGTCTCTGCATTTAACCCATCCACCACCAGGTGGTGCAGTGGGCAGCTCTTGAGGGTGCCTGGGGGGCATTTTGGGGATGAGGTGTGCTGCCCAGAGACACCACGTGATATGCAGTGATTGGGGATCGAACCTGGGGCTTTCGGGTCCCAAGCCGGCTGCCCTGCCTCTACACCATCTCGGCCCCCATATTACAGTAAATGGACTAAGTTCCCTAAATAATAACAAACACTGCTCTTACAAGTAAACATCAAGTTGATGCATGCTCAATAATCCAGGTAGAAAAAATTAACAAAGTTTAAGTCAGGTCCTCTGGATGGATTAAAAAATAAAAATGTTGAAACGTTTCGTCTTTTATCCAAAAGACTTTGTCAGTCTGAGGATCTGACTTAGCTTTGTTAGATAAACATCAAGTTCCATCATCTTGCTCAGTCAAGTCAGTCAGTTCATCCCCTTGAAAAAGTTAGTAACTGTCCATATCCTTATTACAATACTGTGCATTTATCATGCATTTAAATATTTATTCTTTTTATTTAACTTTCATTCAATCTGCTTTTGCTTCATTTCAGTGGACGTGGACCAGGAAAGAAGATCGCTGGATTGTTCAGCTGTGTCTTGCTCGCTCTAGCTTTCATTTCATTGTATTCAAGGTGTGCACTAAAACATCACTTTTTAAAATTTTGTTTATCCTTACTGGCCCACACAAGCCAACATATACTGTTGTGCATGAATAAGTTTTAAATCATCTCAGTCCATTTCTTTGTTGGTCATGTATTTTTTTTTTTTTCTATCAGACATTTAACTGGCAGAGCTTTTGTGTCGAATTTGCCAGTGTCGAGTGAATCAACGCTAACATCGTTCTTGAATTTGGACGAGACACTTGACTATGGGTAAGAGATCTTCAACATGGAAAAGACTTTTTCTCTTGTGATCATAACATACCTCTCAGACTCAACAGTTTAGACTCATGCCTTTAAACAGACTAGACCCCTCTCCCCATCCAAAGTATACAAAGTAAAAACAAAATGCAGACAAACAAAATAAGAACAACAACAACAATAATAATATTAATTCAAGGATTCTAGGTTCTATATTTGTCATACCACATGTGGTACATGATGGAATGAAATTACGTATGCAGTGTCCCAGTTACGTGCAACCAAAGTATTAAAATGTAAAAGAAAAACAGTAATAAAATCAAAGATATGAACTAAGAAAAACATCAACTAAAAATACTCTAAGAACTAGTAGCATAAACACAATACGCCGAACAGCAGCACGAACATGAGTCTGTGTGAGCAGATGAGCACGAATAAACACAGCAACATGAAACAGATCAGCAGCAACATGAAACAGATCAGCAGCAACATGAAACAGATCAGCAGCAACATGAAACAGATCAGCAGCAACATGATGTAATTTTTCACAGTTATTATTCTGGTTAGAGATTTATGAGTTTAACAGCCTCAGGGTAGAAGCTGTTCCTCAGTCTTGTGGTTCTACACTTAATGCTCCTCAACCTCCTTCCTGAGGGGAGTGGGGCAAAAAGTGTGTGTTGGGTGAGTGGGGTCCTTTGTGATGCAGTTGGCCCTCTTCCTGCATCTGGAGGTGTAGAAGTCTGTGATGGTGGGGAGTCTGACTCCAACAGACTTCTGTGCAGCCTTCTCCACTCTCTGCAAAGCTTTTCTTTCTGCAGCTGTGCAGCCTCCATGCTACATGTTGATGCTGGAGCACAGGATGCTCTCCACTGCACACCTGTAGAAGGAGGTGAGGACTGAGCTTCACAGACCAGCTCACCTAATAATAATATTAATAATAAAATAGAATTCATCATCATTAACACAAACAGGAAATTACAAATCATTTCCCCTTGCTGTTAATTGTGTAGGTTACTTTGTATCTGTAATGAAGAAATTGGTAGATTTTCAGCTGACTCCTACCATACGGAGGAGCAGAGGCTCTAATCTGAGCTCGCCCTGGATGATGGGGCTCTTCATCTTATTTATAAGGTTTTTTTTAAACTGAAAATTTCACTGTAACATTCCCACCTTTTACCTGTACAGTCTATTGTAAGATTTGGCATATGGTATTTATTTATTAACCTTTATTTAACCAGGCAAATCCCATTGAGATCACAGATCTCTTTTGCAAGGGAGGCCTGGGCTTGAATTCAGCCTAACATGCAGGTTTTTGGTCTGTGGGAGGAAACCGCAGTACGTGGAGAAAACCCACGCAAACACAAGAAGAACATGCAAACTCCACACAGAAAGACCCCAGGTCCAACTGGGAATTGAACCCAGGACCTTCTTGCTGCGAGGCAACAGTGCTAACTACTGATATTAATGAAGGCCTAGCATTTTCTGAAGAAATGCATGTCAGGGTTGGGGAGGTGAACGGGCAATGCCTGGTCTCTGGGGAGGGGGTGGGTCTGTGCCGGTCGCCGCCTCATCCCCCCCATTTTAAATGCACTATATAACAACATGCATCAACACCTTATTTGAGTGGAAGGAGGGAGGAGTTGGGTCTTCCTGTTTTCCTTAAACCCTCTTTCTCCGTTTTACATTTGGGGTCGGGGGCAGGGAGGGGGGGGGGGTGGACTGCCTGGTTGGGGTCTGGGCTGTGGGTGGGTGTTGGGCCTTGGGGGACATTTGGGGGTTGGGCCGGTGCTCCGGTTCTCCCTGGGTTGTTTGGATCTTTTGATCAGGGTTCCTGGTTGCAGTGGCCGGCCCTTTGGCTGGGGTGGCTGCTGGGTTCTGGCGGAGGGTCGGCTGTGGTTGTGAGGGTGTGGTCATTGGTGGTGCATGGCGGCGGTCGGGGGCGTGGCTTCACTTTGACGGGGTGCTGGCTGGTCGGCCTGATGTGACATTCACGGTGGGGGGTGCTGTGTGTGTGTGTGTGTGGGGGGGGGTGCATGGGTGGCATGCCGGGGCCTCTCCAGGTCTGTGATGTGGGGCTGTAGGGAAGCATTGGTGCGCTAGGCCGGCCTTCCTTGGCTGTTGTTCCCTGCTGCTCTGGCCCCCGGCCTGAGGCCGGCTTGTGGTCGCTGTCAGGTTGGTGGGGCACATGGACGGCCCAATGGAGGGTCCGTCGGGCTGTCTCTGTGTGCCTGTTTATGTCTCAGGTTGGGTTTTGGGTGGTCCCCTCTCTTGGATCAATTTTGCCCCCCCCCCCCCCCCCACCCATTTGGTGTGTTGTACTCCCCGACGGTGGTGGGCACCCCTGCCGCCGGTGCATTGGCGGCTCTCAGCAGCTGGGGCTGGGTAGTGGGGTGTGTGGGCACACCCTGGTGGCTGCCTGCCGGTGCCTGGGTGCCCTGGCTCTGCCGGGCCTCTATTGGGGGGTGCTATGACCTCGGGACTTGGTGTCCATGGCCGGATCTACTCTGGAGGGGCGGGTTGCCGGCGGGGCCTGTTGACTCCTCGCTGCAGCCTCCTGGGGGTTTCTGCATTGTGGTTGCTGGGGGTCGCCCGGGGCTTCTCTCTTTGGGGTGCGGGTGTCCCTGTTGAGGGACTCCTGGAGTTCTGGGCTTGGGGGTCGCTGTGTGTCTGTGGTTCCGGTCTTCCCTGTGTTACCATCATGTCCTGTGGGGACGGGTCTGTGGGTCCCCACATCCACTATTGAACATTTTTATGGAGAAACCTTATAGTGACAAGCATGCTCACACAGGTGTTTAGATTCAGGTGTTTATCAGATACACACTCAGTTGGGTTGTGGTGGCCACTAAATATATATTGTATTACCATGTACTGTATAAAATACTTTCTAATTATGTTACAAGTATCATTATATATGTTGTTTGTTGTTGTGGTTTCTCGGTTTTGTCTTGTCTTTTTTTTTTTTCCGCACGTCTAGAGGCAGACTTCAATGATGTTGATTTGTGTTCTCTTTATACCTCTCTCTCTCTCTCTCTCTCTCTCTCGTGCGCATGCGTGAGCGTCTGTCACACGGGTGGAGAGTGGAAGTGAACTTCTTGAAGGTTTGACTAGCGGTTTCTTTTACTTCTGAAAGGTGTTTCACATGTTTTTTCTTCTTTTTTAGGTGTGGTACAACTGTTTAAAAGCACTCCGGGTTATAGTGGTGTTTTTTCTGGTTTTCTGTTCGGCAGCGCCGGTTTCGGTGCGATGGCCGGCAGAAACACCGGGTGTGGGAGTTTGTCCCGTCGACACGGCATCAAGATGCCGGTGGGCGTGGATTACTCGGTTGAAGAGTGTGCGTTAGCTGTAGGAGAGGTGGTTGGGTGTGAAAGTGTGAAAGCAGCAGCCAGAATGAATAGTGCTGTGGTTTTGTTTCTGGACTCTATAGATAAAGTTAATATTGTTGTTGAACGTGGGGTAGTTCTGAGAAACGCATACTCTGTCGTGTTTCCCCTCGTGAATCCAGCAAAAAAAATCATCCTGTCAAACTTGCCTCCGTTCATTAGTGATGACGTGTTACTGAAGGAGTTGTCACGTCATGGTCAGATTGTCTCAACCATGAAAATGCTTCCTTCAGGTTGTAAATCAGAAAAACTGAAACATGTCGTGTCTTTCAGGAGGCAGGTGTTTATGATCTTATTAAATGATGCTGAGGAACTGAACATAGTCATGAGATTCAAAGTTGAGGGTTTTGACTATACTATCTTTGCAACAACTGAAACAATGAAATGTTTTGGATGTGGACAGGAGGGACATTTAGCGCGGACTTGTCCTGAAAAAGCTCGAAAATCAGAAGAGCCCCCCCAGCCTGCTGGAGGGACAGAGACAGTCTCTGTGGACATTGAAAGTGAGCAGAGAGGAGCAGATGTTCCTGAGTCTGGCTCAGACATGCAGCAAAACAGTCAGGTTGCTTCTACTTCGACTTGTGTAGATGAAGTAAGTGAGAAAGTTATTGAAGAAGAAATAACTCAAGAGGAACTGAATGTAGATGAAGTAGTGTCTAAGGGGGAGAAAACGGTGAGGGATGATGAAACTGTGTTTAAAATGCCAAACGCAAAAAGAAAAACAAGACAGTCAAAAGCAGCAAAACCAAAGAAAATCCAGGTAAAAGAAAAACTTGTACCAGAGAGTGAGTCAGAGTTCTTTTCTGACTCGGACAGTGACAGAGAAGCATCTGACTCCTCAATTCCTGATGGTCAGGTAACTAATGGCTACAGCGTTGAACAGATCCGTAGTTTTTTGGAAGCAACCAAAGGAAAAAGGGATGTATCTGTAGATGATCATTTTCCTAATAGAATAATGTTTCTGGATTCGGTCAAATGGTTAATGAGACAAAGAGGCCCAGAAGGTTTGAAGGACACTGAAATCTATCGTCTTCGAAAACTGATACAGAAACTGAGAACCTCAACAAATGATGCATCCAAAAAGTAAAAGACAGGAGTTGTTTTGCTGTTTTGCTTCAATCTTACTGATCTTTTCCTGGCTGACTATGAGTAGGTTAAAGATTTCATCTTTAAACCTGAATGGCGCAAGAGATGCAAAGAAAAGAGCAATTTTTTTTGAACTTCTAAAAACTAAATGTATCAACTTTGCCTTTGCTCAGGAAACTCATAGTAACATTGATAATGAAGTTGATTGGAAAAAGGAATGGGATGGGAATATTGTCATGAGTCATAAAAATTCATTGAGTGCCGGAGTGGCAATTATTTTTTCAAAAAACTTTCTTCCAGAATCTTGTGAAGTGGAAGAAGTTTTTCCAGGGAGGTTGCTGAAAGTAACTGCAAAATATGAAAAACTAACTTTTGTCCTGCTAAATGTTTATGCGCCATCAAATCCTAATGAAAGATGTAAGTTTTTAGAAAAATTAGGAAATACTGTTGCAAGCTGTGCCTCA